ATACATGATTTAGCATGAATTATCATGAATAATATTAACTACTTATTTACCTCTCAGTGTCTTGAGGCAACTTAAAAAAGTACATTCTGTGTTTTTATTATTATTTAGGCAGTTAAATACTGCACAGTATTTAGTACACCATTTTCTTTATTTTCTTCCATCATACACAAGAATACGCGTGCGTGAGTCAATGTTCGCTCGTATGTGAGGCCTTGTCGAATAGTATCCTGTAGGTGGGCCATCGTGCGTGTTTTGTTTTCGATGTAAACTCGCGGAGATGAACAGGCCTGCTATTACTCTTAAACTAACTGATCTATCTTAATCGTTATAGTTTTCCTTAAAAGTTCATAAAAAGCACTATTATTGTGATTTTTTCCAGATTTTTCTTGCACTTTGTCGGCGTAATTAATATACATATCTCTACAAAATTACAGCTCTCTAGTGTTAATAGTTTCCAAGCAAAACCTCGGACGGACAGACAGACATGACGAAACTATGAGTTCCTTGTCAGTACTACGGAACCCTAAAAATGCTGGTTATAAATAAACAATCTGTATATTTTACATAAATCAGACCATTTTGGTGATTTCTTTATGCAGAACAAGGTATGTGTTTGACCGGAATCGCACCTGATGTTAAGTGAGATGCAGTCTAGGATGGTACATTTATCTGCTCTGTAAGTGCCTATTCACTCTCGCCTTAAAAAGGCCGAGATTGTAGTGTTCGAGAAAGACTGCAGCAGGCAGCGAATTCCAGTCCCTAGCTGATCTAGTTTCCTTGTAATTGAGTAGTTCATATTATTATCTATCAGTTAAGGGAATCTATCTAAGTACACTGATAGTTTATGGTGTATCTTTTCACTATAGATTACCTGGTACTTACTTCTTGTTTTAGCTGCGACGCCAGTTTGGTGCCCGCCTGCAGAAAATCTATGAACGTGACCTCTTCAGGGTTTATCGTCGCTAGAGTTTCTAACCATTCCTGTAACAAAGAACGTAATTAGAAAACATTCTATGCAATATACATCATGTACAAATAATAGCTGTTGCCAGGCCTAGCCCCTATGGGCATATGGCATTTGGAATATACAGGGTGTTTGGCGGAAGGTTAGACAAACTTCGTGGATGTATAGGTAAGGTCATTTTAAGAATACAAGTTCGCCCATTTGACCCTAAGTGAGCTACTTTTTTTTTAATTGCGATTTTTGTTTTTATTTAATATTTTCCGAAATTTGATCTAAAAACTGCTTTAATTTTTTTCCTCGCGTATTTTCAACCGCTTTACCGAAGTTTGTCTAACTTTCCGCCAAACACCCTGTATACTGCGCTATCAGCCAATATATGTAGATATCTAGGTCAAAATCTTTGACTGTTTAAAAGCCCAACAGATGAGGTTTGATATCAGCCTAGGAAGAACCAACACAATAATTCCTGAGTTCTTTCAGTTCAATTTTGTGACGAGACGAATGCTTTGAAGCAAGCTAGAAAAGATTTTTGTTAGGTAAATGTTACCTGTTCCACCAGCCCTATGAGTCCAATCTTGTGGCCATTGCACATCAGTGCATGGGTAATCTTTCCGTCACCAAGCGGACGGCCGGTCTCATTGTCTATGTGTTATGAAAAGTTAATAATATGCAATGTNTTATTACTATAGGTACGTATAATTTTAGTAGAAAGAAAGGTCATTGAATGACTAAGTGACTCACTCACTCATCACGAAGTCTCAGAAACTACAAGTCTCAAAAGAGTTCTCATAGGGTTAGGTTAATGGTCTATTCCACCTGGCTTTGATCACCAAGATGATCAAAGTGTACTCCAGTTAAATTATTTTTTTAGTGTTCTTTGATCACCTATAAATAAATCATACCTCTGAATTGTCACAAGTCAGATACATGTCCAATTTGTTTAATGCGGTTTTTAGAAAATATCAAAAATGTTACAAAACAAAATATGTAGTACAACAATTGGACATGTGACTATTCAGAGGAGGTGTGATTTGTTTGTAGATGATCAAAGGACACTAAAATAATAATTTAACTAGAGTCCACTTGGCTCACCCAGGACAGAATATCCGTGGGTGATCAAAGGCACAGAATAAATTCAAAGGACACTAAATTGTCGCTGTAAGTCCATTTTGATCACCTGGCTGATCAAATCCAGGTGATCAAAGTGGAATACACCTCCTTTTAGAACGTAGGTAGTCACTAAGACGAAATTTTGCAAAATTCAACCCTTATGGGAGTTAAAATGGGGGCTGGAAGTTTGTATTGCAGTCCTCGGTTTTTAAAGTAAGAGACTTGAAAGTTAAAATGTATGCTCACTATGATCTCTAGATATTGTGGAGGTGTAGATACATATACTGTTCGGTACACTGTGGTACTGTGTACACATCGGTTTGCCGACGATATTGTATGTGGCAGAATCGTTGGAAGATCTTGGTACAATGCTCGAAGACCATAATCAATTTTCCCAACAGGTAGGCCTGAGGATGGACATGGACAAAACGAAGCTTATGTCGAATGTCCATGTTGCGCCCTACCCAGTTTCAGTTGGGAGCTCAATTCTCGATTGTCGACAAGTAGGTATGTCTACCTCGGATAAACGATCCAGCTAGGTAGGTGCAATTTCGAGAAGGAGGTCAATCGTCGAATCCAACTCGGCTGGGCAGCGTTCGGGAAACTACGCATCATCTTTTCGTCCAAAATACCTCAATGACCTAAAGACTAGAGTGTATAAGGGTATTTCTTCGGAGGCAAAATTTTCGATGTCTTTGGGTATAGTTCAGTAACCAACTAACAAAATGGCATGCAATATTTTTTTTCGTATAGCTTAGCTATAGCCCTATCTGGCGCAAATTATATTTTTGACATAATNATATATATAAATGAAATTTTAGACGTACTGAGGGGCACCCGATCACACGACCGCGCTTGTGTCGCTTAGTTTTATGGGCACTTCTTCGGAATCTCATTCTTCGGCTGATTCATATGGACAAATTTCATATTCACTTTTAGCCCCAACAGACATGCTTATATGAAAATAGACACACCAAATAACATATTTTTGAATGAGGGACTCGTTTTTGTAAAGTAGTTTTTAAGATATTGACGTTCAAATATTTTGTGCCCATATGAATCAGATTTTGTGACAGATGAATCAAAAATAGAAATAAAAAGCAAAAACTTCATGTAGATAGGCTTTGTATTCAAAAAATAATCATAAATAACAATATTTGTTATTACTAACAATAAAGGAACAAAAAAGATATCAACTTTTATTGAATGACATTTTGAAAATAATCATCGATATTCACTTTTGAAGAATACAAGTATGGTAAACTAATAAGAAATGATTCTTGTTTATTATTTATTGACTGAGCTAAACTTAAGTATTCTAGTAAAGGCACTTCTTGGTTAAACAGTCAATCATTTTAATTAGAATTAACAATCATGGTAATATATTTATAACAAAGTAACAAAAATAATATCAACTTTAATTAAATGGCATTTTCTACAATAATATAATCGTCCTTATTCACTTTCAAAAAAATAATACCTATAATAATTATTATGAACAAGTATGCTTAACTAATATGAAATGAAACATGTTTATTATCTTATTTTCATTAACTTAGCTATGTCCTTTTATAATTCTAAAATCACAGGAGTACAAAGTACAAACTAATTCTAATAATAGTCTTTTTCGACATAAGTCTTAGTTAATCAGTCAATTATTATTACCTAATTAGAATTAACAATCACAGTAGTGTAGATAATACTAACAATAAAGTAACAAAAATGAGATCAACTTTAATTCAATGATAATAATTCTGTCAATATGATGAGCGTAATCTTCTCACAACGAAATATTTTTTTTAAATATAATAATATAACAACAATCTAAATAATAATAATATGGTAAATTTATATAAATGAAGCCAATGTTAATTATTAAGGGACTACAAGAAATATTTTCTTGGCTGTTTGCAAGGGATACTTAAAATATTCTTAGAACCTTTTTCTTGTCGATAAGATTTTAAGTTTTTGGAGGTAGAAGGTGTAATCATATCTTCACTATCAGCATTTTCACGTTTGTCACGAAGAGGCTTTTTAAACACAAAAATTTCCTCATCATCAGAATCTGAGTCATCTTCCACTTTTTTCTGATGAAGGGTCGAAAGTATATCTCTGGTGAATTTTGGAGTTATGAGTTTTTCATCAATTGACGAAGTCTCCATCCAAAAGCTGTCATCATCAGCAAGGTCGAGGTCTTGTTGGGCTATATCCGAATCTTGTCTAATCTGAACTTCAGTAGCAGACACTTGGCTACGTTTGATCAAAGAGCTGCATTTAGCTTTCTTAGATGTCAAATTTCTATTATTAGCGGATTTATTTGTGTTAACACCACTCTGTTGTTTATTATCTTCTATGGTATAAAAACCAATATGTTGACCGTGAGGACATTCAAGGGCTTCTTGTGAACAATTGTCGTAGCTACAACTAAGTTCTCTCATAGCTAAAGTATGAAGCTGATTGGCACTCCACACAATCTGATGTATTTTCATGGTCCCGCGGAATTCCTTTAAATTTTCGGGAATGAGCATATCTTTCTCTAATATGCCCGACTCATGAATCACTTCTATAATAACTCCTGGACAACGTTCTTTTAGGTGTTTGACAAGAATCTCAATGTTTGGGATGTCATTTCCTCTTGCAACTATTTGATCAGCGGTCCGTTTTAGAACTCCTCCCACACCATCAGGGGCTCCTTTTCCATGTCCTTTTTCCGAATAGTTCCACACTAATAATCGCAAACTTGGAAAGTACCAGTGCATTTTAGCCATTATATAAAACATTTTGCGATTTCGGTATTGCGCCGATGGCGAATCCGAAATAAAGTGAAATGTTGTTACACCCGGCACTTCGTTTTCAAGAAATCGGAGAATTGGCTGTAAATGTTCCCAAATTGCAACAGCATCATGGCGTAAACATTCGCTGATCGTACAGTATGACTGTTTACACAGTTTTCCATATTTTATATAATATATAACAGAAGTGTGCAATGTTACCTGTTGCCTGGAACTGCCAAAGTGAAAAGATTGAATCTCGGAGGCGTATTTCGTATTGTAATTTTCGCTGAAATCACAATGGATTATCGATTCGTCCGGTTTTAGGTCTTGTTTTAGTTTTTTTATGAAATTATGTTGAGAAATAATATTTGCACAGTGACGCATGTAGGGTACTAAAAGTTTTTCAAAATATTTTATCAAATCCTTGGGATGCGCTGTGACCCTTTCCTTAACTGTTTGATGCGTAACTTTTTCTTTTGTGTCTTTAACGTAAGTTTTTTTCACTTTGTTCCAAATCCAATAGTATATTTCTTTGGTGTTGTCAAATTCCATATAATTTATAATCTTGGTTTTGCAACTATCACAATTCTTGGCCAGACATTGAACATTCCTGGGATTGCAACATAGAGATTGTAGAATCTCATTCACAGATTTTTCCTCAATCAGATTATTTTTCCGAAGTGCTACTACGACCAGCTCCATATTTTCATGATCTTTACACAAACATGTTTCTCGATTATTTACGGTTGGTACACGTACCCAAAATGGACGAAGCTTGCAAAATGCACTATAGCTTATTTTGTGCACAGGATTAGTTTCAAGATACTTTTTATGTAGATTCTGCAAGCTGTCTGTAAGATATCGCTTTTGTTTTCTTATTTTTCCTCTGGTGACAAATTCTTTTTTTCCCGCGCACATTCAACTGTTTTTATCTTCTTCGAAAAACATTGTGACTTTTTCTTTGATAGCGGTAGTACAGGGTTCAACCACCAGATGTATTTTTTCGTCCTCAGATATATTTTTCTTTTGTCTTTTATGTGGTTCTGTTACCCGCTTAGCATTTTGTAAGCGTTTTATCATTCTCCTGAAATTTTCATTGACCCTTTTAAGTTCTTCAATTTTTTGGTCTTTCA